AGAGGATCCGGCAAGAGTGCCCATGAGGAGACCCTGCAGTAATGCCGGCAAGGGGAACGAGCCGGCTCCCGGAAAGGGAAAACCGCTCCCGTTCCGAGCTCCTTACCTGCGAACGACTCCGGCGGGGAGTAGAACTGCCCCTCGGAAAGGGCTCCCGGGTAGAGCAGGGGGCCCCGCGCGGCCGCCTGGGCTGCCAGGTACCCTGGGGACCAAACACAGGGTGTCACATAGGGAACGTCCCACAGCCCAACGACAGCGCGGGGTCCCGGCGCTCCTGCCCTTCCCTCTCCCAAATCCGGCCCCGTTCAACCCCCGGCACAGCCGGCCTTTCCGCACGGATCCCAGCCAGCCCACAGGCTTCCCAGCTCCCTTTGCCTCCTCTTTGGTTTGAGACGTTTTATCTGCATGGAGATCAATGGGCTCTTTCGCCTGTCAAACCCAAAGGCGATTAAGCACCTAATTAAATAAGAGCTTCCCCTGGAAGCAATTTGGAACCCGAGCCTAATCCAATAGAGGCATTAAACACTTGATCGTTTTTCATCTTAAAGCCTCCTTGCAAGACCCAAACATCCCCTGGTGTTTGCCAGTCAATGCATTTCTGATCGGGTCGCACTTGATAAATGCTGCTTGCTTTCTGTGCCATTTCCCAGTCTTTTTTCCTCAATTAACACTGGGAGAAGGACAAACTCCTTGGCCTGTAACAAGGGCTGCTGCTTTGGCAATGGGCAGCTCTGCTAGTCCAGGTTGAGCATCCCCTTCCCAGAAGGATCCTTGGAGTCCTCAGAAAGACCCAACCTCCTTTCAGTCCCACTGCAGTAACAGAGACTATAAAACTGCACCTGCAATAACCCATTCGGAGCCCCTGTAATGTGCTTTTCACTAAAGCACACTTTCCTGGAGCTCTGCAACCCAAATCCAGAGAGATCCCAAGAAATGGAGAGCCCGACAGCCCCGCTGGCATTTGTGCCAATGCCCTGCACCTCTTGTTGATGTGGAGGTGAGCTTTATTTCCAACACGTCTGGCTTCAGGATTCAGACACTGGGCGATTTGGCACGCTTTTCTCCGCTCAATTAAAAGATGCTTTTTATAATCTGGTATTTTCTTCCCCTGAAGGGACTTATATACCATAACAAAATTGAGTCAGGCACTTCCCGTCACAGCCAGCCCGGAGATCACGTCCCCATAAATGTCACATCCACCCAGGTGCTGCCAAAGCAGCAGAAACCCCAGGCCTGGCAGTTTAACCTGCAAGGTACTCACATCGTTCCTCCTCAGCTTCCTGAGTTAGGACTTTAAAATCCAGGAACCAGGTCTCTAGCCAGGCAATGACAAACGAGACGATGGGAAGTAAATAGCCGAAAGCCCCTTTGGTCAGAAGCTGAGGGGAAAAGAGGAAAAACCACAGGCGGTTTACGTAAAATGGAAAATTGCGGCATCGAATAATCACAGAGCAATCCCCTGTGAGCAAAGGGAAACCAACCTCTGAGAGGATGACCTTCACGATCAGGAAAGCACTGGATACCAGCGTGGTGACCTGAAAAATAAAATTAGACATCTCAGACCCCTGCGAGCTCCGGGCAGAGAGGGAAAACTGAAAACAGAAAGGGAGAAAATTCCCTTCTTACCGCTATGACCCACCAGTGGCGCAGTCTGAGGATCGCATAGGCCAGCAGCAACACAGAAAAGCGAAAGAAAGCCAAGACCTTTAAAAATAAACAGCTTGTGCTTGCCCCTGTGCCGTGTGGACAGGACAGACACCCACACAGGGGAGGGCAACAGTGCAAAAACTGCCCGTTTTCCCGAGCCGGGTCGGCTGCAGGGAGATCCCTGATTCCCTCCCCTGTGGCAGCTCGTGATACTCACAAATATGTCAAAGAAAGAAGTCTTAAATTTGTACTCGATGATTTCGTTCCTCAAGTTCTTCTGAATGCCATCCTTGGTCTGCAGGAGAGACAGAAAACGAGAAAACGCTATTGAGTGCAGTGATAAGAATCTAAAAGGGAGGAAAAACCTGAAAAAGCGGCGTCCAAAGGTTGCTGCCAGGTCAGGTGCTGCAGCAGAGACTGGTTTCGTAGTGTTTTTTGCTGCCTAATCCCTCGGTGATGTCACCCTGGGTGCTTTTGACACCATAAATCCCGTTCTCCGGAGCTTGGAGCCGCTTTTTACGAGGAAACGGGCAGCTCAGGTAGCTGGAACAAATGTTTCACCTTTAGGCTATGGGTTTGAATGCAGCCCAGCTGGCCTGGAAGCTGCTCCGTGCCGACAGCTGTTGGATGAGGAACAAGTTATTGGAGCTTGGGCCAGTTCTTGGCACCTTCTGGCCACAAATTCCAAGGGCAGAAGAGGCAGAGCCATCGGGAAGCAGGCCCTTTAGGGAATATTCAGGGAAAAGCAGGGAAGCCACCAAAAAGGGCTCCCCAGCAGCAGCTCTCCAATGCCAGATGCTTCCCAAGCAAAGCTCTGGATTGAAATTTTTGGGCTGCATAAATGAATGTCATTACCTGGAATAAGCAGGAACTGTGGGATCTCTATCTCTGAGAGGAGCAAGCTCGGAAAATTACGGTTTGCAGGCAGCAGGCATTTAACGAGGGCTGATTTGCTCAGCTTATCTTGCAGCAAAGGGAATCGTTTGATAAAAAAAGCATTAGTCACGACATAAAATTGTCGCTTTTCATAACCAGGGAAATAAGCTGTCCTAATAGACTTAAATATGCAGCATCTCCGCTCGGGGCCCAAATATCACCACTTAGTCACTCATTAATGGTTCCCTGCGCTCGGAATCGCCCGGGTGACCGAGCTGTTTCCCTAGGGCTGGGAATTTGGATTTGCAGGGAACAAGAGCGTGAGGCCGGGGTCCAAGGCGGGCACGTGCAATTCCGACGGGAATGCCGGAATGCCGGCCCGGAGCCGCTTTTCCCTAGCTGCAAGGGGGGAGCAGGGGGCTCTCCGGGCCACGTGGCTGTTTGCAATGGGCCGGGCAAGCGGATTGCTGGCCGGGGCAACCTGTCAAGTGCAGGAGATGAACAGGACAGAGATAAGAGAGGCTGAAGCGACGCAGGCCCCGGCGCTGATAAGGAAAGGGCAGCCCCCGGGGAAGCGGATCCGTCTATCTGTCCATCTCGCCTTCCTGCTCGGATTTTGCCAGGGCAGGACACGCAGGACCTGGAACCTGCCACCAACAGAGCTGGAACCAGCCAGAACCAGCTCAGAGAGGAAAAAAAAATATATATATATACACACAGGGCAGGGGACAGAAGTGAATAAACTGGATCTCCCTGTTCCTGGCTGAGCAAACACGGCACCGGGAGGAGAGGCCACCCTGCAGCTGAGCTGCATCCCTGGGTCCCAGCAGCTGGGATTGGGAACGGGGTGGTGGGATGAAACCCTGGAGCGATTCCCGGTGCTGCCCGGCAGCTGGGATTGGGAACAGGATGGCAGGATGAAACCCTGGAGCGATTCCCAGTGCTGCCCGGCAGCTGGGATTGGGAAGAGGGCGGCGGGATGAAACCCCTGAGCGATTCCCAGTGTGCCCGGTAGCTGGGATTGGGAACAGGATGGCGGGATGAAACCCTGGAGCGATTCCCGGTGCTGCCCGGCAGCTGGGATTGGGAACAGGGCGGCGGGATGAAAGCCCGGAGCGATTCCCGGTGCTGCCCGGCAGCTGGGATTGGGAACAGGGCGGCGGGATGAAAGCCCGGAGCGATTCCCGGTGCTGCCCGGCAGCTGGGATTGGGAACAGGATGGCAGGATGAAACCCTGGAGCGATTCCCAGTGCTGCCCGGCAGCTGGGATTGGGAAGACGGTCTATCCGCACATCCCACCTCGCTCTTCCAATTCCTGGGAGCAGGGATGGCCAGCGAGGCTGGCAGCCGCCTGCCAAGCGCGGGAGGAAGATTTCCTTAAGGGAAGGAGGGGAATTAAGGGAGCAGGAGGGGAATTAAGGGAGCAGGAGGGGGATTTGGCTGCGTGCTGGTGACACGGAGCGTGACGGGAGCTGCTGTCAACCACCACGGCAGGGAAGGAGCCGCGTTCCGGCTCCGGGAAAAATCAGCGGAGCGCCGGGAAGAGCAAAGAGCGGGGCTTCGGAACCAGCTAACGCGGATGGAGCTGGATTCCAAAAGCGGGATGCGAAGAGGGGGAACGCTCCGTCGCTCCCGACTCACATTCAGCTCAATGATCCACAGCAGGGAGATGAAGAGCAGGTCGAAGGTGACGAAGAGGCAGAAGGTCCTCCTCACGTCCGAGATGGCCTTCCTCTTGTCCGGGGAGAAGTGCCAGCAGGGAGAGAAGCCCTGGCTCTGGGAAAAGGAGGTGCTGATGGAGGCGATGGCCGGGAGGCTCCGTTCCAGGGGCTCCGTGGCCTTCTTCATCCTCGGCCGAAGGCTCCTACGTCCGTCGGGGCATCATCTGTGGGGAGACAGCGAGGGGAGCTCAGGAGCAGCAGGGACAAATCCCTGTGTCCATGCGGAGCCCAAATCATGGAAGTGCAAAGGGAATGCGCACAGGCCGCCCCGCTGCCCTTTGGGATGTTCCCGTTATTAAATCAGCCAGAAATGGCCCAAAGCAGCTCGGGGACAGACCCGGGCTGGGAGCCTGGACCAAAAGGCTCCAAGCGGATCCGTGGAGCCGCTGGGAAGCGGCATTCCCATCGGAACGCAGCCGCCCGGAACGCGCTCCCGGCGGGAGAGCCAAGCGGCAGCTCCGGTCTCCCCATCCGAGGGGTCTGCAGAGCTCCGGGAAGGAGCCGCTCCCGGGATCCCCGGAGCCTCCCGGGGCTTTTCCCCCATGCGGCATGGGGAGGATTCCCGGCTCGCCGGGGCTCGGCGTGTCCAGCCGGGAACGCCGCGCGAAGCGCCGGGATCCGCTCGTCCCTTTTCCCCCCGGGAAGGGAGCCGCGGAGCCGCCGCGTTTCCCGCCGGCCACGGGAGCGAGGAGCCGGGCTTGGAAAGCCGTTTGGGAGCCAGCCATTGTATCCCGCTTTTCCTCCCCGGCACACGAGGAAGGAGACCAGGAAGGGCCGGGAGCGCTTGGATCATTCCCGTCTCCCAGTGTCCCAGGCATTGCCAGGGATGCGTTCCTTCCAAACACGCTCAGGGACACGCGGCTTCCAAGGAGCCGCGTTAACCACCGCCGCTCCAGGAATCCCGGAGGAAGCTTCCCGAATCCTCCGGGAAGCGGGAGGATTCCCGGGATGGGCTTTGGCTAAGGCAGATCTCCCCCGATCCCAGGAGCCCTGCGGGAAGGGGGGGCTGCGGGGCCTTCCCGGCTCCCCGGATTCCCGATCCCGTCTCCCGTGGCGGGAGCGGCGGACGCGTCACTTGGGATGAGCGGCCCCGCGATCCCAGGAAGGTTCCCAATATCTGGGAATGCTGAATAATGCAGGAGCCGACGCTGCTCCGCACTTACGGAGCCGCCCGCCGCTTCCGAGCGCTCCGAGATCCCCCTCCGGAGCGGGCGGCCCGGGAAGCGCCGCTCTGGGAAGCTCCTTATGGAAGGGACACGGTGACGAGCGGCTGCGGGGCAGGGATTGTGACCGGGACGAGGGGACAGCAGTGACACCGTGCAGGGAATGGGAAAGGGGGAAGCTCCGGGGTGTCCGTGCAGCCGCCCATCCCGAGCGCTCTCCTTGTCCCTCTTCCCGGTGACGACGTTCCCGGCGGCTCCGTGCACCCGGATACG